CATCCGGAACCTTATTCAACGTCCTCGACCGTTTCAGTCGTTTGCTCGTCTTCATCCTTCACAAGCCTCTCTAGACCTTCGATCACCCATCTTTAACCGGTTCGAAACGCCATCATGCGTACTGCAGCATTCCTTTGGCTCGCTCCTGCAGCACTAGCCAGCGCCATCCCTTCCTTCGAAGAAGCTTCTCCCGCCATCTCATTCGACAAGAGGCAGAATGTGTCTCCCAACGTCCTCGGGGGCAAGATCCTGCAGGCTGATTTGTACGCTGGTGTTGCTGCCATCAACCAGCAGATCTACCAGGCTACCCAGAAGCCTGACCAGTTCAAGAAGTGCAATCCCCTGAACCTAATTGTTCGCAAGGAATGGTAAGGCGCCAGCAACCGAGATGTGGATTGCACGCTAACAGAATTAGGGCAACCTTTACTACACCGGAGAAGAACGACTATGTCAAAGCCGTCCAGTGCATCTCCAAGCTGCCTCCTAAGACACCCAAGTCTGAGTGCCCGGGCTGCAAGAACAGATACGGTAAGTTATGACTGTATGAAATGCATGTGAGACATACTCTGACTTCGCATCTCCACATCTGTAGACGACTTTGTGGCAACACATATCAAGCAAACATTTGCCATCCACAACACTGGCAACTTCCTCCCATGGCATCGTTACTTCACCTACGCTTACGAGCAAACCCTCCGTAACGAGTGCGGTTACAAGGGCTATCAGCCATACTACAACTGGCCCCGATGGGCTGACGACCCGATGAAGAGCCCTACTTTGGATGGCTCTGCCACCTCTATGGGCGGTAACGGTGACGCTGGATGCAGCAACCAGACCTTCTACGGTATCCCCACCAACGATGCTCCTCTGATCAAGATCCCCAAGGGAACTGGTGGAGGTTGTGTAACGTCTGGCCCATTCAAGGATTGGTCTGTCAACCTTGGTCCTGTCTTCACCGACTCTCTCTGCACGCCTCCCAACCCGATCGTCGACTTTACAGACCCCAACATGGGACTTGGGTACAACCCTCGCTGTCTGAAGCGTGACATCTCTGCCTGGACTTCCAGGCAGTGGACCAACGATGAGATGGTTGTGAAGCTGCTCAACAGCCCTGACATGAAGACCTTCTGGTACGACATGCAAGGTGGTGACCCAGCTTTCGCCGAATTCATGGGTGTGCATACGTAAGTTGTATTCAAGGAAGACGTATTCAAGACATGCTAATATTCTACTAGGGCTGGTCACTTCACTGTTGGTGCTGACCCTGGTTCTGACTTCTTCACTTCGCCTGGTATGTTCTCCTACGTCAGCTTCACAAAGACGTTCGGCTAACAACGAAACAGGTGACCCATACTTTTACTTCCACCACGCCCAAATCGACCGTGTGTGGTGGTCGTGGCAGAACTTGAACCCTGCCAACAGGACCAATGCCATCTACGGAACGATTGCCCTGGGTGACCCTACCGCCCCTGCCACCAAGCTCACCGACACCATGACTCTCGGACATGCCTACCCTGGCAACATCACTGTTAGTGATGCGATGAGCACTATGGCAGGACCTTTCTGCTACACGTACATCTAGAGACGGACCCTCGACTTTGCTTCGACCTTCTTGTATATACTTGACCTGTACATATTGATCCAGATTGGTGGACTGTAGTCGATTTGCTGTTGAGCTCAAAAATAGACCAAGCACGCGTACCCTGTGCGATGGAAGTAGACTAGCAACCCAGAACATCCATGGCCATTTTTCTGACTGAGCGCGTGATGACTGCAAGCTTTGTCTGGATCGCCTGAGCATGATGAATCAGAAAAACCCAAGCATAGCGAATGTCGATATCAGAGTAGAAAGTGGAAACTAGCACGATCTAACGCATGTTCCGCAGCGCTAAGCGGTCACCATACCTGGGCTGCATATGTCCCGCAACGAATATGAATGGGCGGGGTCTCTCCATCCAAAAGCGCGGAGACCCTGCAGTGCCAACGCATCACCGCTGAAGAAGAATCGAGGGCAGTCATGTCCTCCAATCCCTCCGACCACGCCGGTTTCAAACGCTGTTTGAGATCACAGCCACCCTGAATCGGAGCGCCCCTCGAACATTATTGGCATCTTAGAGTCAGCATTGGAGGATTCGCGATTCGAGTGAACCCTTACCCCGCTAAGATTCTAGCTCCCCCGACTTTCTGGATCCAGGAGACGACGAATGTTGCAACAACCATCGCAAGACATCCCCAACATAGCAGAGAGCATTGCCAAACAGTAGAAAACTTGCGCAGAGCACAACAATCCCTCCATCATGAACGTCGACCCTCTGACTGGCAAACCGCTCCCTTCGACCGCCATCCAACGCATCCTCTACCTCGCGCCCAAAGTCCACATTTACCAGATCCCACCTGCGACGTCTACAAAAGGCTACCAGGCCTCGACCTGGACAGCCGACAACAACAAGCTCCAAATCTTCACGGCTCGACTACGCGTCGTCGAGACGTCAATACCGTCGAATGAGGAGCAACAAAGCAACTACGATGCAGAGGAGAAGGTCACAACAACACTCCTATTGGAAGACCCAAAAACGGGGGACCTGTTCGCCGCAGCGCCATACACAAGTGAGAGGACGGTAGAGCAAGCATTGGACAGTAGCCGCTTCTTCGCCATCACCGTCGTGGGCGAGGGCAGGAAGGCGATCCTGGGTATGGGCTTCGAGGAACGCAGCGAAGCCTTTGATTTTAGCATTGCGCTGCAAGACGCCCGTCGCGTACTTGGCTTTGAACAAAACCCCGCTGCGACATCGTCATCCCGCTCCTCCAAATCCGCACAAACGCCCGTCGCCGAAGAACCAAAACGCGATTTCAGTCTCAAGGCCGGCGAAACGATATCGATAAATCTGGGAGGCTTGAAGGGACGCAGGTCAAGATCACATGAGGGAGGCGAGAAGAGTGAGGAAGGTGATCGCAAGAGCGAACAAGATGCGCTGTTCAGTATAAAGCCGCCACCGGGAAGTGGGGGTGGGGGTCCCGGATTCCTGCCACCGCCACCAAGTGCGAAGAGTGTCAAGGAGGAAAGGAGGAGAAGTCGGCAGAACTTTGATGCTGCCAGCTTTCAACCGCCCAAACAGACGGCGGAGGATTTGGGCTTCGACGATGGCGAGTTTGGCGAGTTCCAATGAGAGGGGGCTACAAATAAGTGGGAGGTATTTTGTGCATGTTTAGCATTGGAGTTATTGTTTGCACTGGTTTAGGTCCTCCGCGCATGGGAGGCGTTTTGAAATCAAGACATAGCAAGTTTCAAGGAGACGCGAGTTTTGCTGAGTGTATAGGTGCGTGTCGTCGAGTGAAAGCGAGGTGTGTTGGGTATATCAATCTACAAACGCCGATCCTATGTGCCCGGAAAGAATATTTCAATCGCCGCTCATGAATATGTCCAACCCTGCGCCTCATCGTACAGTCTTTCAATGTCGCGAATCAGATCCTCTGGCTTTTCTCCACCCTCGCAGTCCTTGAACTTGCCTCCATCGGTAACACAGCGCACTTTGTCGTCCAATCTCACGGTACAGCTGGTGGTCACGCCTACATCGCTACTATGCTGCACGCTATCTCGCAAGAGGCCCATGCCATATGCGCCGTTCTCCTTGCTCATGCAATCGTTGAGCACGCCAAAGTCCAGGCCATGCTCCAGCGCGCAGTCTTCGATGAGGGAGCGGGCGGGTATCTCGGAATAATCGTTTGTAAGGCAGTTGGTGAAGCCAAGGTAAAGTTTAGGATTGGGGTACTCGGATGCGGCGCACAGCATGACAATGTCGCCTAGACATTCTGTTTGGCCGTGTTTGCATTCAACGCCGTCGTCTGCTGCCAGGCTGCATGTGTGTCAGCTACGTCGGCTGCTTGCGCGGGGACGATGCAACGTACCTTCCTATCATGCTCAAGCGGAAGTCCACCTTGTCCGACACGTTGGCCATGGCGGGCAAGACGAGCTTCTTCAGGCAGTCGCGCGCATCCGGACACTTTGACATGATGTGTACATCGACCGGTACCTTTGTGTCGGCCTCGTCGTGCATGTCTGTACATGTGAAGGTGCGTGCCAGCCAGAACAGACTGAAGAGCAACACAAACGCCGCCATCTGGAGTCGCGTCCTCCTTGTCTTGCGAGATGGCATTGTCTCGTCGGGTGGCGGCGCCTTGATGTGCTCGTGCGTGTCCGGGAGGAGGGGCGCCTTCTCTTCCATTGCGTGGGACGGTGTCGGGGCCGACGCGAGGTTTTTATGTAGGGCTTCGTGTAGGCGCGATGGGCGGGTGGTCTGGACGCTGCGGTGCTGAGCTAGAAGTGTTGGGCTGGTCTGCTAGATGCGATGGGCTTGTGTGATGTGATGAACATGGTCAAATCGGGAAAGATGGTCTGATAGGCGTTCGGGCTTATTTGCTGATAGCGTGGCTGACTAGGGCTTTGAGCGGCAGATCGATCTAGGTACCAGCAAAAGCAAAACAATCTAAACTCTGTATTTAGTGAGCGTTGCACACGTCGAGGAGCCACATTCCCGTATGACGTGATGCGCTATTCACACTTCTCGCAACGCTCACACTTCTCGCAACGCGTGCACTTCCCAAATACGTGAAAAGAGCCGAGGAGGACAGCACGGCGGAACAATTGGCCGTCGTGCCCGTCGTGCTGTAGCCGTGTGGCGTTCTACACGCATGTAACACCGAGCTTCGGAGGGGCTACACGAATCCTACCTCACGAACCATTCATCTACTGCGCGTGTAAAGCCTGTCAATCCCACGCCTCTCCTTTCCTTTTCGCTTCTTTGCTCATGATGAGATGACTTTTTGCCTTGTTGACATTCTTCTTATCCTGCTCAGACATTGAATTGTTCTGCAATCCGCGAGGCTTATCCCCCTCCCCCTTTCCATCTGGCCGCCTTCTACTTCCAGATTCGATAACACATGCGGCAGCCCTGCATCAATTCCCTTAGATCCGTTCCTGAAGCCCGGCACCAACCCGAAACATGGCGTCGGATGATCAACAAGACGCTGCATCGGCTGCGATCCAAGCATTGACCGGCTTTATCAATACGAGCACTTTGCTTCCTCTAGCCCAGCAATTTTCGGCAACTTACAGTCATCTGGCCAAGTCTTCCACCGAGCACTTTCTAGTCACTCCCGTCACGGCACTACCCACAGGGAAAGAGAAGGGTAAATTCTTGAGCATCGATGTTGGTGGCACGAATCTAAGAGTCGGATTTGTTGAGCTAATCGGAGAGCCAGATGGCGCCGCAGAGGATGAGCGGACACGGAGTAGCACGGTTGGCGAAAACGTGTTTGCTCGCATCAAGAGGAGCCACGACAGAGACTGGCCCATTGGGGATCACCTGAAGATGGACCAAGCTGAAGACTTGTTTGCCTGGATTGGTGACTGTATCGCCGAGGTTGTCAAGAGTGCTCTTGAAGAGCAAGAGACCATGAAAGATATCACATCTCCCCTCGGCGATGAGATTCTGCTTGGCATCACCTTCAGCTTCCCGATGGCGTAAGTCTAAATCCACACGTAGATTGTAACACCTTACTAAAGCATAGTGCAGACAAGATCGTCTTTCAGAAGCGACTCTGCTACCAATGGGCAAAGGATTCGCCATGACTTCGGATCTGAACCTGGGCAAGATGCTTCTCGCTGGATATGCGCGATACTGCCACACCAATGATGCAGCAAGCCAGCTCAACCATTCCAAGTCACAATTACCAAGGATACGGGTAGCCGCCATCACAAACGACACAGTAGCAACATTCGCATCCCTTGCCTATGCAGCCAAAGCAGCACCCAACAGCCGCGTTGCCATGGGCCTCATCGTCGGTACTGGTACCAACGCAACCGTACCAATGAAGCCAGAGAGTCTTCATCCTGATAAGAGAAGTGCACTCTCAAACCCTGATGCCGTCGAAACCGTCGTCATCAACACAGAGTGGACGATTCGTGGCACGGACAAGCCCTTGGTCGACCTCAACATCAAAACATCCTGGGACATGACACTCGATGCCAACAGCGATGCACCGGGCTTCCAACCATTCGAGTACATGACCTCTGGGCGGTATCTTGGCGAGATTGTACGATTAGTGTTTGTCGATGTTGTGTCAAAAGAAGAAAGTGTGCACGTACCATCGTCACTGATGCTTAAGAACGCCCTACCAACCCGCTTCCTGTCGGAAGTCGTCGCGCGAAAGGGGGGTCGCATCGTACAGGAAGAGCTCGAGAGCAGGTACCCAGATCCTGAAGATTCGGACGATTTCTTCTGGACTGTCGACAAGGTGGAGTTGATACGCGACATTGCCGAAGCTGTCCAGCAGCGCTCTTCAGCTCTCATCGCGGCTGCTTGCATTGGACTCCTGAACTGTGTGGGTGACGTCGCACTAGACAAGCAACAGGCCTCAAGCAACGGTGCTCATGCAAAAGGGAAACGCGAGATAGAAGAACTGGTAATAGCATACGCCGGAGGAACGATATCACAATACCCCAAGTGGCTACAGACATGTCAGCAATGGATAGATATACTCGTCGAGGAGGGTTCTTCGTCGAACAAAAACAAGCAAGTCACGCTCAAGGAGGCCAAGGACGGAGGTATTGTCGGCGCCGGAGTACTCGCAGGCATGACAGATGAGATAGTATAAGATTAGGCGAAGAGTTCCCTCAAGGCACTACCAAAGACCACGAGTCGTACAGCCAGTCACAGTGCCACATCGACATTAAACACATTTCAAGTAGCCAGAAACAAAGCACATGATACCCTAAATCCCATCTCCTCCTATCTACCTTACTGGTAGCTGTGCCTGCCATTCAGGATCAACTTTACTCTGCTTGAAGAAACTCTTGCCCCTCAACCACTGTCTATACGCCTTATACCTCTTCTTCGCCGTATCCTCTTCCTCTACATCCAGCGGGTTCTCCTTGACGCGCAAGAATTCTTCAAACTCCTCAATGTCCTCTTCTGGGGTCTGAAACTTGCTTCCGGTAGACTGTGGCTGTGGGGGCGGCTGCTGGACATCAGAGTAGACGTGTGGGTGTAGATTGTACGTTTGCGGGTACGAGTAAGAGGGCGCGTGGGAGAAGGGCGTGCTTACGGACTGTGAGGTCATGGGGCGGGCGAAGGAGTGGTGAGACGAGAGATCCGTGTCTAGGCGAGGTAGATCAGAGAGCGTGATCTGAACGCCATCTTCGTCAAAGTCTTTTGGTGCTGGGATGCTGCCTTCGGTCATGGAAAGGTAATCGTAGAATTCCATGGCGCTGGGGTCGTCAGCGCTGGGCATTTCGCTGCTGACTACGAGGGGCAGATTGAGTGGATGCTCAATATAGCGGGCGTATTCTTCTTCTTCGCCGTGGGATACGGATGGATTCATGCTGTTTTCGTAGAATTGCGTTAATGTCCACTGATGGACTAGGGCTTTATCAGCCGGTTTAAAGCCGGGCTTGACTGTAGATGAGAGGCCAGTCGAAGTTGACGTTGAATTAGTCAGAGACTGATATGCTGATGGTGGTGGAGCTGGTGGATGTGTCTCAAAGTGCGAATCTCGGAGAATCGAATGTCGGACAGATGAATCAACGCTAAGATGCAAATCTCTACCGCGAATACCTGGGATACGATTTGGTTTTGCCTCTGTCTCGCTGGACGGATCAAGTATAGTGACGCCTTTTCGAGGGCCTTTCTTTCCGTCTCTTCCTTGTGCGTCGTGGTCTTGTTGCTTGGTGCGAGGGACGAACGGGGACATGTTTTCCTTGCGAGTTGGAAATGTTCCATCGCGGCTATCACGACCTGGTCGTGGCTTAGCTAGACGAAAGGCGAAGATTTTGAGATACGAAGAGATAGCTAGTGGTCTGTAGTATTCGAGCCAGTAGTCATCACGGAAGCTGATGAAGTCAAATGCCGTTTCCTCGGTTGGCTGGGCTGGCATGACTGAGGGTGGTAATCTGCGCTGTTGAAGATGCGAGAGTGTGTACCATTGAACATAATCGCGTCGTGTGCGCTCAAGGAATGCTTTCGGATCTTGATGATGGAGGTAATAGTCTGTCGACAAGTCCCATAACATTGGTTGGCCTTGGCGGTAGGTATAGTTACCCAAGAACAAGTTGTAGGCCTCTTGACGCTGGGAGTCGAGGAATGAGTTGTGGTAGTAGCGCTTGAAGCTCTCAACCATATCGCGTGAACTACTCTGCCATTGATTGATTTTTCGATACGTAGCCATCGTGTTGACCAGATGTGAGCCACCATACTGGATCGCAATGGTGTCACCGTGCCCGTGAAACATCTGCGTGAAGAGCTCAACGCAGTCGGAGTCGTACTCTACTGTGTTGTCAGATATGACACCCAGCGCTTGCAGCTGTCGACCTAGTGCTCGCTTTCCAATGACGAACTGAGCAGCATTGGTTCTATCCAGGCAGTCGATACAATTGGTTCGCGCTACTCCGTTTTGAACTTGAGGCGTATCGAACTCGTTATCGCCGTTGCGAAAAAATCCAGTCTTACGCAAAACCTTCTCAGCCAGATTTTCCAAAGTGCCAATGACGTCTTGACCTCTCGTCTTGGCCGCCCTTGACATGTCGAACGCTTCGTATATTATCTTTTTGTCATTCGGCAAGGATTGATTGAGGTAGTCGATGGCGTGTTTGTATTCATAGAGTAACTTCGATTCTCTCGGGGTTCTCTCGCGCGCCTTGATGAGGTTGAGAACGTATACTGGAGCACCATATCGATCGAATAAGTTGTCAAAGTGTAGTCCTGCCGCACTGTAGAAGGGGTCTACAAGGCTTAGGTCGATGTCGGGCTTTGGCGTTACGCCAGTATTGTCTTGGGTCCAATATAACGGTATGCTACCACGATGCTGCACGTAGGATGTGTAGGATGGATTTGCATACAATCGTGGTCCAGGGGCATGAAAAGACGTGGTAGTCTGCTCAGACACAATCTGTTCTGTCTCAACATCATTGGCGACATATCCGAGGTCGTTCGTTCCGCGCTTGAGAAAGCGAGCACCAGCGAAATATCTGGATCGCCGAGCAATAATGGTAAGGTACACTCGTCGCCCGAATATATCCAGAGAAGACTGGTCCACGTACCCGTGTATCACGGGGTGGCACCAGTCATACACATTCTTCAATGCATCCCGCGCAGGGTTCAGAAGATGATGGTTCCAGACAAACATGTCTTGGAAATCGCGCTCGGGGTTGGAGATACCTTCACTAAGCGCAGTCCGTTGATGGATGATGTTCTGTTGCAAGCTTCTCGTCACGTTGTAGGAATAGCTAAAGTAAAAGGATCGGTTCAGGTCCATGTTGTTGAGAATAGACAAGAATCTCGCCTCCTCCGGATTGCGGTCTTTCTGGTACCTTGACGTTGATCCAGTCGTCAGTGGAACCATGTCTGTGCCATCGACTTGGTAAATGTAATGGCCGCCCAACATGGCCACCTGTGATCTTTTCGATATAAGAAGCATGTAATATGCCTCAGTGAATCGGATGAAGCCCAACAGACCCCAAGTGCTGCACTTCAACCTCATACCTCCCGTGGCTTTGTTACCATCAGCTATAGTATCCAAAAGCTGGTGCATCTCTCGCCGATTGTACACAATGTCATCTTCGAAGATGTTCAAGTGCCCAGGTGCAGCAGTCCGGTCAATCTTCAGCACGCGAAACTGCCTGTCCGTGATATCGGCACCAATGAGGTAGAAGCGAGTACTGGTTTCGTAGAGTGAGAATTTGTGCATTCTCTTAATTCCGCTCTCGCCGACATTTTGGTACGTGGAGCCCTTGAGTTTGTGAACAGTAGACGGAGTAGATGGTCTGTGAAACGATACGTTGACATTTGGATTCTCTTCTTCACCACCAAACTTGGTAGATTCTGACTCTCTGCGCGGTTTTCCATGACCAGGGAGTTTCCCAAGATCCGCTTCGGGCTTGAATATGCTATCGTGTTCAAGTGGAGAGGTTTGCGGGCTTCCGACAGCAGTTGATGCTTTTTCAATATCGTCTAGCTTTTCCCGACTGCTGGCACGGGATGCCGTAGCCCTTGACGCCACAGAACTGGCTCGCTCTGGAGAACTCAACCTTGACTTGGATCTTTCCATGATGGGCGTTAGTGGTTGAGATGGGGTTCATGAACGAATGCGAGAAGATAGAACTTGTCACGCGGTCACAACGTGGTTGTCGGAAGCTCCCAAGGTCGGTATTGGCGCGTGCGGATGACACAAGACAACTACTGGCCCAGACCTAGTGCTTCCTTTTGCACACTGTTTCAAGATGCGAAGGTACAAGGAGAGCTACAAGAAGAAGGACACTTAGTTCTCTAGAAAGGGCCGTGTTGTGAGCCGAATGGGCACAGGCGCCGTAGCTTCCTGGTCCAAGCCCCACTTGGCCATGTCAGTGCTTGGCGTACGTCAGTACCACTAGCAGGTCACTAGTGACTGCGAACCACAACTTCCAGAAACATGAGCGGAGGGACGTTTTTTTATTATAGATATATACATTGAATGGCTTTAGGCACGAGCCAGAATGAATCTTTCGCTAGTAACCTATGATGTCGGACTTACAGGCAGACTGTGTAGCTCTTGTCGTAGTCCTGAAGCATCAAACAGACCATCGAACGCTTCACGCTGTCTTGTAGCATGGCGGATACTACTTAACGCTCCAGTACAAAATATTCAAATTCAAACACCATAAGTCAACTACTTAACTAAAAGCAAGAAAAAAATGTATTGCTCTTGCAGTATGTTGGTCATCCCTTTTGAACCCAAGTTTACTAATAGCCTCGCCTTCGAAGTCATGGTGAGCGACAAATTGTCCGTCTTCATTATCATAGGAGCTATGCTATCAGTGTCCGCTATAGTTGTCAGCATCATATGCGTGATTATTCTGCAGAGGAGAAGGTCGGCCGAAGGGAAGAAGGTTGCATTGTAGACGTAGCATTGGGAATTCGACGCGGCACCTAGTGAGCCTGGGCCAGGGCCAGTGAGCACTCGTCCAAAGCCGCTGCGACGGGCTGTATAGAACACGGGACTCGCTTGTTTGCTTAGACGAGCGTCTCAGTGTGGTCTTAGGAGACCGATGATACCCGGATGAGACTCTAGGCTGTATTTGACTATGATGAATACCAGAAAGTTCATTCGATGATACTTTATTATTACTGCAAGTGCAGTCTTCGCGTCGCCTCTTCATGTGATGCTACGTGACGCGACGTGACGCGTGCATGAGTCAGTGTGAGCATTGTTTATCGCGGCACAGCAACCCTCAAGTTGTGTCCAACGTATGAGGAGCAAGGATGTTCGGTCTCAATATCCGCTGATGACGAAGGATAACCTAGTAGATATTCGGCTGCTCCCGGGTCTTAGATAGATTATGTGGTGTGTGCGTTATTCTCCGAAAGTCCCAGCTTACGGGAGGGGCGATAGTCGCATAGTAAACAGCATAAGCATGAAGGTGGAAGAGAAGAAACAACATGAACATGTATAATTAAGATGCGCCTAAACATGGCCAAAGCAAATGCTGATCGGTTCTTTCGGGGATATGCATGAGCAAACATGAGTCAAGACAAGCCTGTGCATGAGGACCTGCAGCTGAACGGGCGTATATGTTCAAGCAGACAGTCGCGCAACGCAGCCGCAGAAGTAGACGATAGGCGGAA